GGCCCCTCCCCCCTGTTGAGTGCCCCCAATTGCAAGCCTCACTACCGAGCTGTGATCCTGTGAATGGACATTGTCCATTCACACACAGAGTGTGCCTCACCCCCACTCTCACCTCATTGGCTTACTGGCTGTGATTGCCAATGGCTCATGCTGCTATGTTAGCCAGTGAGGAGAGAGAGACCCGGGAGAGCCACAGCTCTCATGCACATCGCTGGATCAAGATGGGGTCAGGTAAGTATAGGGGGGACTGAGGGGGGAACTGCACCCAGAAGGTTTTTGAACTTAATGCATAGAATGCATGAAGGTAAAAAAACTATCTGCCTTTAAAGCCACTTTAACTGCTTGTGAGTGAGAAATTGGAGTACACTACACTATTTCTGGAAAAATGTTTTTTCATCAGAAGATATATGCACACATGTAGATGCAATATATTGTATTTGTGTTAGTGGTTCTGCTACATTGTTTCTTTACAAATTTACACATCTCTCATGTGTGCTCATGTGATTTATTATTATTTCATTTTCATCTCATTTGCACAATAGTACTGATTCAGACAGTTAGAATGGATAGAACACTGCTGACAAGTGAAATCACAAAGATTATCGCTCTGTTTAAAGGTCAGTTAAAACATCTCTCACACAGTTTGTCATATGTAAATACAATGATTATAAACTGACTCAATAACAGCAGTTTAGAGTGGTGCAATTAAGTCCTATTACAACTTGTTAGTATAATGTAGAAAACAAATTAGCACAAACAAAGGTGATTCAAACAAAGATCACACAGGACTGACAACCTGTCAGCAGTTAAAAAAAAATAAACCCAGAAGACTATTCAAAGTCAGGTTTTACATGTACTCAATGAAGTGTTTAAAAAAAGATATAAAAACAACACTAACAATGTAATTATTCTACTCCCCCAATAGAAGGACATGGTGCAAATTAATCATACCTAATGTGCTTGACGTAAATACTGCTGTAAATATTAAATATTGTTTCTTAAAAAAAATGTTGGTAGATGTAAAAAAAAAACTTTTTAAAGCAAGCGTGCATAATGTGAAAATCTGCAAAACCAATATGATAACATGTAGCCATCAGGGCTGGTTCGCACCATAGAAATGCAGTCCAGATGTGATTCTGCATGCACATTTTTTATGCATTTTCGATGCATTCCAGTGTGTGTTTCCCTTTTTTCTTCTTCCCAAATAGGCACATGTGTATTCTCATGCATTGTTTGTGTGTTTAAGTGCCCTCCAGTGCATTTTTCATTCCAGTACAGTTCAGTGCTTTTTTTCTGCATTGGAATGCACTGGAACTGACCACAATGGTGTGAACTAGGCCATTGGAACCCATATAACCTACTATTCATGCATTTGTGATGCAGAACAAAATAGTGTGTACCTCAGAGGCAGTGTACGCTTGCAACAAACTTTTAAAGAGCCTTCAATGGGACCTTAGTTCATCATTTGAAGGCTTTTAGGCTTTCAATTGATGCACCAAGATGCCCTCTCTACATCCCAGAATGCAGTGTTGGTGATCCAGAATGTCCTGAAGAGCAAACAAAAAGGTTACACAGCTGTGCCATATATCTTAATGATGTATAGAGATGATCGTAGATCATAGATACCAGCACTACACCGCTTATTAGCCTGGCACAGGGAGCGCCCAGTAAAGTAAAAATTATGAAGAGAAACTGACACTGCACTTGTGCTGTACGCAAGATCTTAATTTTTCACCTACTGTTCTATTAAAGAGCGCAGACAAGATGTTTCCCAGGAACACATAATCTGAAACAGTGAAATGTTTTAAATAAATCAGCTTTAACAGGGGGTTGGGCCTTGAACACCTCCCTGGAGGTATTCCCGAGTGTAGCTCAGGGTAAAGTTTCAGCACAACAAGTGGTAACCCCGAACTACAGTCGGGAATACCTTGCAGCATTGCTCCATGATCTCTTCTGCACTTACCTTGTCCTTCGCTCCCGCGATGTCCCCCTGCAGTGTCCCCAGCCATCTTCTCCGGCAGATGCCAGCATCCGTCTTCCGGGTTCCGTTCCCTGCGATGTCGGGACGTACGGGGATGTAACTGGCGGGAAATTTAAAAATGTCAAAAAAGTGATTTCAAAAGCATTTCACATACATTTTGTCCCTAGTGCTTTGTCCTGTGCCCTGCCTGCATTTTTACTGTTCTTTCTGCCTGGAAACTGAGAAATGTCCATGGCATCCAAAAAGAGTCCCTTTTAGGTCAAAAGCAGTTTTAGACCAGCTAGAGAACAGCGATAGTAAACTAAAACTACTTGCAGAATTGAGTGATAATGATTCGTGGGGAAATTCATCATCAGACACTGAAAAACAATTTTGTGACTTTGCTCAGTGATGTGCGAACTTGGCGCTATATTTCAAAAAATTCAGTGTTTTTGGTTTGATTATATTATTGAATTAAATTTATTATTATATTATTATTTTTATGATTATTTATTAAATTATAATTTATGATTTCGTGTTTCAAATTTTATCATACCCGGGATGTTTACTAGACTCTTGTTCGGACAGATTTCAGTGAGTTATTCCTAAAAATTACAGGCCTACAATAAAAAAAACACTTATTTCCATGCAAAAAAATGTACCGCTTTGAGCACAGAAATACTGATGTGATCAGACCGCTAGGGAGGTTAAAGGTGAAGTTCACCTTTTTCATAAAAGTGACCATGCAGACAAAAGACCCCCCGGAAGATTAGAACAAATTATTCAGCATTAAAAAATATTGGTTACTGAAAATGCTATGCCTGTAAGCCATTTTTGGTAGCACTGAAGCCTGGCTCAAATACACCCATATCTGTTGACATTCTCATTCTGGCAAGTTTCCAGGACACTCGAGCCAGCACACATGCAAACATCACCTTGACTGTAAAGCCGCACGTGCCCTGTACAATATCTCTTCCTCTATCATATAGGCAGTACAATATTTTGAACTGTTGAAATCTACATACATGTAGTATATTTCAGTGGTACCTAGATTTCTTTACTTGATAGGATGCTACTGTCAGTACATACAGCTATTGAAAGGTACCTGCAGTCCAGGGGCGGACTGACAACTCATGGGGCCCGGGCAATAGGGGATCATGGGGCCCATGTGTCCTTGCCAAAACTCAAAAAAGCCTATGAAAGAGGTACCAGGGGCATCTCGTGGGGCCCCCTACTGACCCCGGGCCCTCGGGCAGTGCCTGAGTTTCCAAATGGTCAGTCCGCCCCTGCTGCAGTCATTAAATTTGCTTTAGGTTCTCAATTGTAAGGGCTAAAATTGCATTGAGGTTAATTGTCCCGATTCACTCCAGCAAGCTTTTTTACCTGGCGCAATTCTGGTAATCCCCAACTACTATTGACCTCTGCTTGCCTCGTGGACCCTACCTTTGCCTCCTCATTCTGCTACTACATGGCAAGACTGTTACTGACCTTGGCACATTTACTGGATTTTGTCTTGCCTCCTGATTCTGCTGTAACACTGCACGGCCCTTATTGACCTTTACTCCTGTCCTCTGTTCCCATTGCAAGCTGTTCCTGTGTCCAGTTCCTACTTGGTTTTATAAAGGTTCCAGTTCTTCTCAGCTGGCTACAACACAGATCCAGTCCAGCCAGCAAGCTATGGCACTTGTGTCACTTCATACTCTCTGTCACCACCTTTAGGAGTGTTGAGCAGGAGGTGCAAGAGGAGACCCCTCAGCTACTCAGCACATATTACCTATGACAGTTTGTCAACATGGAATCCTCTTTCTGACACCCCAGAACACCCATATCTTCAGTCTGAGCTTCCAAAATTAAGCATGCTCCCATCATCCAAATGCTTTAGGGATTCCAAGCTGAGCTTCTTCAATGTCTATTTCCTCTCTGGTTCATACTCCTGCCGTGGTATCCTCTACTCTAAGAATTTAACGTATGCCATGTCACAACAGTGTTCTTAAAACCTGTTAAGGTTTTCTGAATTGGTATCAGCTTAACGTGGCTTACATCATTTCCCTGTTGAGAGAGGCATTTGTTCACACACCAGTTGGAGAGAATTATGTGCCTCTATGATCGTTCTATCTTGATTGTGAGGTTTTGCAAGGACTTCCAGGACTGCCTAAAACAGCCCTGCCCCTGGCCATTTTTTTTTACACAGCTTTATCATCTGCATGTTAATACTCCTAATTCAGGTAGGAAAACATGTGACTGTGACTTTTGTCTTTGACTGTATTCATGTTCTTTCTGATTAAAATTGTCCTTTGATTAGAGGACAATGGCACAGTCTGGTGTTTTGCTACAAGAGTTAAGAGTGTCAGTCCTGAGATGATACATCTATGTGTAAATTGGTCATTGGTCACTATAAAGTGGTCAGTGGCAGGACAGAAATAATTGCAAAGACACAACACACAGGCTTAACCCGGCTTGCTTACTCCTCCGAGTTATGCTTGCAGAGCAGTCTGATCCAACTATACAGAAAGGTGAGCTTCACAGTTACATTTAATTTGTGCTGGCTAATATAATAATAACATATTGATATAGGAATACACAACGAAGGAACAATCCTTCAAAAATGAGGGGATTTTAGTCTCTGGGCTTAAAGCATCATACATTTGTTAAAATACACATAATTTATTAAGTCTATTAAAAAGTCGGACAATGTAAAATAGGGGTCCTCAAACTTTTTAAACAGGGGGCCAGTTCACTGTACCTCAGACTGTTGGAGGGCCGGACTATAGTTTAAAAAAAAAAAAAACTATGAACAAATGCAGACACAGTACAGGAGATGACCAGAGACTGCGGACACAGTACAGGAGATGACCAGAGACTGCGGACATACAACGGCGGCGGGAATACTGGGCCGGCAGCTCCATAAGACGCACAGACATTTCCCCCCAAGTGTGTCTTATGGAGCGAAATAGTGCCCCATCATTGGTGTCAGTGGGAGGAATAGTGCCCCATCATTGGTGTCAGTGGGAAGAATTGTGCCCCATCATTAGTGTCAGTGGGAGGAATAGTGCCCCATCATTGGTGTCAGTGGGTAGAAACATGCCCCATCATTGGTGTCAGTGGGTAGAAACGTGCCCATCATTGGTGTCAGTGGGTAGAAACGTGCCCCATCATTGGTGTCAGTGGGAGGAATAGTGCCCCATCATTGGTGTCAGTGGGAGGAATAGTGTCCCATCATTAGTGTCAGTGAGGGAGGAATAGTGCCCCATTGTTGGTGTCAGTGGGGGGAGGAATAGTGCCCCATCGTTGGTGTCAGTGTGGGGGGGGGGGGAATAGTGCCCCGTCACTGGTGTCAGTGGGGGAAGGGGATAGTGTCCCAACATTGGTGTCAGTGGGAGGAATAGTGTCCCATCATTGGTGTCAGTGGGAGGAATAGTGTCCCATCATTGGTGTCAGTGGGAAGAATAGTGCCCCATCTTTTGGTGTCAGTGGGAGGAATAGTACGTCATTGGTATAAGTGGGGGGGAATAGCGCCCCGTCATTGGTGTCAGTGGGGGGGGATAGTGTCCCAACATTGGTGTCAGTGGGAGGAATAGTGTCCCATCATTGGTGTCAGTGGGAAGAATAGTGCCCCATCTTTGGTGTCAGTGGGAGGAATAGTACGTCATTGTGTAAGTGGGGGGAATAGTGCCCCGTCATTGGTGTCAGTGGGGGTAGGGATAGTGTCCCAACATTGGTGTCCGTGGGAGGAATAGTACTCCATCATTGGTGTCAGTGGGGGAAGGAATAGTGTTCCATCGCTGGTGTCAGTGGGGGGTGGAATAGTGCCCCATCGTTGGTGTCAGTGGGGGGGGAGGAATAGTGCCCCATCATTGGTGTCAGTGGGGGGAGGAATAGTGCCCCATCATTGGTGTCAGTGGGAGGAATAATGCCCCATCATTAGTATCAGTGGCACCAATGATGGGGCACTATTCCGCCCACTGACACCAATGACACTTAACTTGCTGACCCCTGTTCCAGCATGGTGCTGCTGCAGCCCGCATACCTGGGGCAGCAATCTGCACGGCACACTTACCTGTCAGCTGTCCTTCTTCACTCAAGCCTCTCCCTCACTCGATGTTCGCTGGGGCGCTCAGCTCCGCCTCCTCGCAGGCGATTGGCCATCTGTGTGCCTTTCCTGAGCTACAGTTTTGGTGCTCAATCACTGGTGAGGAGGCAGAGCCGAGCGGCAGCATGAACATCGAGTAAGGGAGTGGCCGGAGTAATGAAGGAGCAGCGCTTTCTGGACCGGATCGTCGTGGGACTGGGACATGGAGTCAGGTAAGATACAGTAGCCCCCTGCCCGCCCTGTACTTAGTGTCCCTTCCTCGTGGCAAATACGCCCCTGCCGGCGGGCCAGATGAATGTCCTCGTCCTCGTGGTCAGCGGCTCGCATGTGGTCCGCGGGCCATAGTTTGAGGACCCCTGATGTAAACCATCATATGTTTACATTATGACATACAATTAGAGAGTATTGAAAATTAAAATCACATAGGCATCAAAAGATCATATCCTGCAGTATATACCAATGCATTCACGTCTGCTTCATCGGGGACATCACAGGACCATCTAGAAAGTTAAAATAAAATACTTGACAGTACAAAAAATTATGCAATTATAACAGTTATTAACACAGTATTCTCCAATACTTAGATATTACCATAGTATCAATCACAACTATGCAAAAGCTATAGGTTCATGAGATGACACTCTGGATGCCTATAAACTGTAACCCCTATGTATGTAGGGGAAGGAACGCCAGGAACTGGTCCAAACAGAGGGGAGAGGGAGGCGAGGGCAACCGCAAATCACAAGTCTCCAGCTACAATATAATACAGAAATAACTGTACTAAGTATGACACCATTACATCTAGAAACATCAAAGGGGAAGAAACAGAGAAAGGGGCTTTATACCTGTGCCAATAGATTTAAGATATAGAAGGGGCATATACTGAATATCTACACTCAGGTCCATAAATATTGGGACATCGACACAATTCTAACATTTTTGGCTCTATACACCACCACAATGGATTTGAAATGAAACAAACAAGATGTGCTTTAACTGCAGACTGTCAGCATTAATTTGAGGGTATTTACATCCAAATCAGGTGAACGGTGTAGGAATTACAACAGTTTGCACATGTGCCTCCCACTTGTTAAGGGACCAAAAGTAATGGGACAGAATAATAATCATAAATCAAACTTTCACTTTTTAATACTTGGTTGCAAATCCTTTGCAGTCAATTACAGCCTGAAGTCTGGAACGCATAGACATCACCAGACGCTGGGTTTCATCCCTGGTGATGCTCTGCCAGGCCTCTACTGCAACTGTCTTCAGTTCCTGCTTGTTCTTGGGGCATTTTCCCTTTAGTTTTGTCTTCAGCAAGTGAAATGCATGCTCAATAGGATTCAGGTCAGGTGATTGACTTGGCCATTGCATAACATTCCACTTCTTTCCCTTAAAAAACTCTTTGGTTGCTTTTGCAGTATGCTTTGGGTCATTGTCCATCTGCACTGTGAAGCGGCGTCCAATGAGTTCTGAAGCATTTGGCTGAATATGAGCAGATAGTATTGCCCGAAACACTTCAGAATTCATCCTGCTGCTTTTGTCAGCAGTCACATCACCAATAAATACAAGAGAACCCGTTCCATTGGCAGCCATACATGCCCACGCCATGACACTACCACCACCATGCTTCACTGATGAGGTGGTATGCTTAGGATTATGCTTAAGGTATCCCAAATTCCCCACACCAAGGTGAAAGGTGCGGCTACCAGCGCCTGTGTATGCAGCAATGTAGGATGAAGTCTCATCCCCGCTCTCAGGGGAATCAGTGATGTTATTATTATTATTATACAGTATTTATAAAGCGCCAACAGTTTGCTCAGCGCTGTACATTACAGAGGGGGACAGAATATACGCGACAGTAAAGTAACAATACAATGCGATACACGAGGGGTTCGAGGGCCCTGCTCTTTCGAGCTTACAATCTAGGAGGGAGAGGATAGTGGTACGGGAGGAGATAGCTGTGGGGGATGGAGTGGTAGGAAGAGTGGAGGAGGTCGGCAAATTAGTAGGGGGTGGGGTAGGCTTCCCTGAAGAGGTGGGTTTTCAGGGTACACCTAAAGGAGAGGAGAGTAGGTGATAGTCTGATGGGTTGGGGCAGGGAGTTCCAGAGGATGGGTGACACCCTGGAGAAATTCTGAAGGCGGGCATGGGAGGAAGAGACCAGGGGAGGATGCTGTCATGGAGTTGATCAGCAGCAGAGTGGAGGGGGGCAGGGTTCAGGTTGCGGAGGTTACGGCTGGTGGTAGTATGACATTTGGAGGGGTAGGATTTGAGGATGAGCTGTTAGCCAGCATCCTGACACTACAGTGCTACAGAGGGGAACAACCCAGTACCTACTGCAGCAACACTGAACAGGATCAGTAAGGGGCCAGCAGGGATGCCTTGGTAGAAACGCAAGGGGTCATAGACTGGGTGATGAGCCTAAAACGGAACCCAAATTGCCCATCATCAGTGGTAATGCAATTATTCTCCTCCCAGTGGCTGCACACCCTAGCAGCCGTTAGGCAGCAACATGTCCTAGACCAGCACCAGCAACTGAAGCACTACAATGCCAGTATATCCGTGGATCCAGTACAATGTAGTAATGTGGATTCCCAGCCCTAGGATACAGGGTATGACAGAAGGTGAACATTCAGGAAGGAGCTCAGCGGTGGTTGTCAGTGTATACAGGGAGCCAATGGAAATCATCGGCTCTCAGCTGGATTTGGTCCCAGCCCCCCTCAGACAGCATAGTGGAGATGAAGCACTCCTTGAAAACAGGGATCCTCGAGTTCCCCACGGCGGTGAAGAGTGGGTTTCTCCTATCAGCGGAAAAGAGCAGACCTCTCCTGCACCTGTCCCCTCAGCGGCGCTGCCAGTGTAATGGCGGTGCCAAAGAAGAAGCCATAAGTCGGAAACTGAAAGTTGGAAACCGGAACTCGGCTTCACAATGAGGCTTTGAGCGCAGTAGGAGCTGCTCCATCGTCTGTGCTCGCCGCACACCACACAAGGATTTCCCCTCGCATTTGGTGAGCGAGCGAGCGGCTTTTTCAAGCCTTGCATTAGTGTGTCCTATGGAAACATATGATTTTTTAAATTTTTTTTATTTCTCACATCCCCTGAAGTGAACCCTTGTAAAAATGGCGTAAAACTCAATGAATTGTTCAATTGTTTAAATGTTTCCTCCCCTTCCCATCCCAATATCCGTAATATATTTTAAAATAGTGGTATTTTACATATATTGTGAGGGTCATGTAACCATATAAAAGAAGTAGGTGAATGGAAGTTAGCTTTCAACACAAAGAGGGAGATTTACTAAAACTGGAGAGTGCAAAATCTGGTGTAGCTCTGCATAGGAACCAATCAGCCAATAGTTTATTGTCAAATCTTAATTGAACAAGCTGAAGTTAGAAGCTAATTGGCTATGGTGCACAGGTGCACCAGATCCTGACTACTTCAGTTTTAGTAAATCTCCCCAAAGTATGACCAGCATGAAAACCTAGTGATGTCTCTGTGCAAGTACATACTCTTAAAGGATTGTGAATTGAATTTTCTGAAAATTATTGTACAAGTGCATCTTCACATGAATAAATCTATTTTATTTTACAAATTCATGGCAAACACTCAAAATGCTCTTTTAGAAAATGATGTACATGATATGCACAGCTGGAGAAATGCGTTTTCAAAATTACATATGCTTTCTAGATTAAATTGCCTCTGGTTAAGGCTTTTCTCCCCTAGCTTTAATACTAGATAGGAGTATTTTTTAGTGAGGAGGTGACTAAAAAGACAGATTTCAGGACCACTGGAATACATTTTTGAAAATGTATCTGTTATATAGTCGGGTCACTACGTTTAGCATGAACCTATTTGTAAAACTGCTGTCCTCCTATTTAGCTTCACTATATATCAGGTGAATTGGCACCCCATTCCACTTCATTAAAATTTGGGTATCAAGAGGCTCTGATGAATTTCTCTCAAACCCTCCTTATCTACTGTCCATGCCACTGGGTATTACTGTTTTTAAATAATGTGTTGCTTGTTGGCAGCAGCTGACATTTTTATAATCTTCAATCATATGCTGAAAAGTAAGTAGGCTTTTTATCAGCAAAACAGGCCTCAAATGTTTGTTATCATCTTGTTGTGGAGTTATGTGTTAGGGAAGGGAGGGTACATTTTTTATTTTAAAAAAATGTAGGTAAAAAAGAAAAGTATAATTGTGGACCATGAATTAATATTTATGTATAATTATTTATTAATAATGTATTAAATATTACTATATCATTATATCAGCTGATCATAAAAAATACATTGGCATTTTAATGTAAATACATTTTTTTAATGAATATATCTTTTCTATTTGAGCTGGTATTCTATGCCCTGTTGGAAAAAGACATCTTTAAAAAGTTGTTACAAAAGGGTATGCAAAGTACAGCAGCATATAACAAACCAATCAGATTTTATCCTCTGTGAATTTAAATCTGATGGGCTGCAATGGATTACCATACTATACACAAAGTCATTATTTTTTTTTTGCCTTATTAAATAAATTATGTTCACACTTGAAAAGATTTAAACCTGCTTTTCATTTTCTCTTTCTGCTTTGTTATTAATTTCTGCCATATTATTCTTGTCCTTATAAAAGTGTCCTTCTGGAGATAAGGACTTCCTAACTAATGTCAAGCTTCTAAATGTTTAGAATCGATCAATAAAACCACTGAAGCAAAGATTAAACATTAGTAGGAACACTTCATTGTACTCCTTCTAATAAAAGAATCATTGCTATTCAAGCCCAGAAAAATATACAAATATTGATTACAGTTACAGATAAATGAACACATAGAATTGTTCATTCAATTGCAACAAATACTTAACAGACTTTTTTTTATATGAGCTTTAGACAAATCATTATTTAAAGAAATCAAAATACAAAAGATAACATGCATTTGTATGTATTCACGGCTATAGATTTCTTCAATCTCCTTTAAAAAATACTCACCATTAGTGATGGGCCTAACACCCTTCTGTTCGGTTTGCAGTTTGAACATTTGAACCTAACGGAAGTTACCATACCGCAGTTGAGATACCGCACAGTATATTTCCAAAAAAAGTTGGCATTCACTAAAAATGCTACTAAA